TTAAAACTGTGAAAATGTGTGTGTGTGCCTTATATTTTGTGTATATATATATGTGTGTATGGGCGTTTGTGTGTATAAATTACTACAAAATGTGTGTGTGTAAATGTATTATGTGTGTATATTGTGTGTGTTTTTGGTAGAGGTGTGTGTATGTGCTTGCGTGTGTGTTTTTTCATAGTGTGTGTGTGTGTGAAAAAAAATGTATGTGTGTATGTTGCCTGTGTAAAAATCTGTGTGTGAATGTGCGTGTGTATGTGTGTGTAGAAATATGTTTTAAATTCGCACCGAGGTGTGTCCGTTGTGTGTGTTCAAAGGGGAATGTGTGTGTTTGTGTATTTGCATGTGTATTTCGCGTGTGTGTGTGTGTGTGTACGCGTGTGTGTGTGTCTGTGTCGTCCTCGTTTTTTAAACGAGTAAACTGGATAAATCTACCTAAATTTTTCTAAATATCTTTTTTATTCCCATAATTCTGTTGTAATGTGCTAACAATTTTATTTATTCCTGTTTTATATTATAATAGGTCGAAATCCTTTCACTACTTGAAATATTTGAAACACAAATTTTAAATGATCATTTCATTCATAAATTGGCTTGTTATAGTTAAGGTAAGTTTTACAAATAGATGCCAACTTGATGAAGGCAAAATAAAAACAAATTTCAAACAATTTTCTGCGCTATATAAGACAATGTTTCTACACAGCACTATTTTGTATACGAAAATCAAAATAATCCTTAAATAAAAAAACATTAATGAAGGACAGTTTATTAATGTAATATACTTTTTATAATCAATATGCAAATTAGTTAAACCTGAAGGGTGATATCACCTAGAGGTAGATAATATATAATATAGATATTGAACCTTTAGCGTATAATTTACTATAAAGTAGAATTGGCATTATTTAACACCGGAATTCGTTGGATAATTATGCTCTAATTTCGTATTTATTCATAGATTCCACAATATAAATTTTAATTAATTACCTATTAAGTTTCTCTAACTTTTCAAATTTTGAATGTATGACTAACTCCAATTTATTTTTTACCATCTTTACACTGTATTAATTTTATCTTATAAATTGTCCCCTGTTCTGTCATCCATGAAATAAAAATAATTGTTTGTACGGAAAATAAGGACCTACGTACATCAAATCGTCTTTAAATTAAGAGGCAGTAGAAGAATTATCATTGAACTTTTAAAAGGTAAGCTTAAACATTAATTCAATACTAAAATGAAGAGATCAATTTTGAGTTCTTCTGTAGTTTATTGATGCCTATTGCATCTACTCCCCCTTAGCTATTGTGATAATGGCCAAACCAAGAATCCTCCACAGGAGCTAGCTTAAATGCCACCGATAGGTGCGGGCTTTTAAATGTTTATAGTTTATAATAAAAAATGTGCACTGCAATTTTGGATGCAAAAGGAAAATAGGAGTTGCTTCCCTTGGACCATGAAAGCAACGATAATGGCTAGTATAATATATTAATATATATTTTTAACCATAATCTGGCAACCCTGAATCTGAGCTCAACGAAAATCGTTCCCTGCACCTAACTTTTCTAGGGATTTTCAATGAGTTATGAATCATTGAAATCGGACCGCAGGGAGCGGACGAGTTGCTTGGACGCGCACAAAAACACACACACATTATATATTTTTATATAATTATATATTATTAACATATTCAGAATTTAAAATAAGATACTATATTTTTAAAACAAAATGAAAGAAAAGCGAAATGAGACTTTTTAATAAATCTAACAAAAAGTAAACTACTCAAAAGATGAGTCACTATTACCGATTCAAATTTACAATCTTTCGTAGAAAACTCCGATGGCATTTTGACACATTTCAGCTGTCATCAAACCTGCCTCTTCTTTAATGAAATTCCTTAAACCCCGAAGTGTTCCGGGTTTTCTGAAATGTAAATCCGGATTCTCTTGTACGGTCCCAAAATAAACAAAAATGCTACAAGTTTAATATCCGGAGACGTAGTTGCTCTAAATAATTCCTACGCCAACATTTTGGAAAATTTCTATCTTAAAACTATGTTAGAAATATGCAGTTCCACCTTGTTCCCTGAAGGATCGTTATTAGTAAAGCCTTTCTGGAGTTATGAAAAAAAAATCAATCTTCAAGTAGGTTTCAGCTGCAATGTTTCAATCGATGAAGAAATATATGTAAACTCTTGCTGATGGCAACCTCAGTCATATCAAATTTTTTTATATACTTAATATATTTATATATATATATATAAACAATAACATTTTTGTAACATCGTTATTGTCTCTTTTTTAAATTAAGATTTGACTCGTTGTATCTTGGAAATGATTAAAAATATCTTACTGGAATTCTCCGAGGCTTTTATAACACTATGCGACTCTACTTTGAGCAATAAGCCTAGCAGAAGTATTGTGGCAAAATAGATCATAAACGAAAATGATATGTTTAACATTAATGAGTAAGGATTGAAGCTTAAATTCATGAAGCATTGAAATTAAGTTCAAATATATATATATATATATATATATATATATATATATATATATATATTTTTTTTTTTTCATTTTTCAAACATAGTAACAATTGGAGTTTCAATGTGCCTTGCTGTTTCATGTTTTATATTTCGTTTTCAATTTTTCCAACATTCTTTTTGTCTGTCATAGGAGAAACTCTTCTCATCATTCTGAAAACTTTGTTGTCTTGTAAATTGAGATTTATATATATATATATATATATATATATATATATATATATATATATATATATATATATTATTCTAACCATTTTTCAATTTATTCATGATGATCTTCGTCCTCTAAACTTGATAAATTTCTTTATGGAATAACAAAGTGCCTCACAGGTTTCATGTATTTCATTTTCAAGTCGTTTTTCACTGCACTTTAGGCTTTCAAGCTGAAAATCATGTCTCCTGTACAACAAAAACAGTTTATGGATTGAGATTGTTTTTTTCTAATTGATCTGTTTAGCTGAAAATTGAAATGATGTTCCCTTTTTTCCTGTTGTTCCACCTCTTGATCCAGTTTTTTTGCTTCTATATTTCCTCTTTTGAAACTTATTCGCCATTCTCTTTGGTTCTTGAATGGTCTTTGAAGATGGAAGCCATTTAAGAATGTTAGTAATTTTATTGATAAATAATATTATCTTTTTTTTCTCCCCACGGCTCAGAAAAAAAAATATATACACTTAAACAAAACGATTTTAACATGTTCTCTTTCTTTTAATAACTCAAAATTTTTTTCACTGATTCACGACAAATGGTGTCAAGATGGCTAAATATCTTATTTTCAAACCTGTAAAAAAAAAAAAACAAATTAAAAAACATAGTTTTTTATATATATTAAACATTTTATAAATTAACAATTATTAAAAATGCTATTACATGATTTTCACAATTTATATATATATATATATATATATATATATATATATATATTATGAAATGGACAAAGTCCGACAATTATTTAAGATATTTTTTTTTTTTTTTTTTTTTTTTACAAAATAATATTTAGAATATATTTGAACCGTTTAAAAATAAATAAATTTAAATTTTCATACCAGCCTGAATGTTATAAATTTTCATATGTAAATTTCTCAGACATTAGTGAATTTATTAAATAAAGTTTGCCATTTATATAAAATATTTGAAATTTTTATTTCTCAAATGTATAAACATAAAACGAACTACTAATACTACGTATAATATTATACGTATAATATATATATATATATATATATATATATATATATATATATATTCTTAAAAATAATTGTCATAAAGAAGGTTTTCCTCTTCTCCAACATTCCATAATATATTACTTGCATATATTGAGAACCCTAACAAAAAGTAATTATACATGGTCTAAAGATCGCTTGAGGCGTGGAACAGTCAGTTACCATGCAGTGTTGATTTATATGTTCACACTTTCTGGTTTTTTGATCATTTCACCCAAGCAATCCTCAATAATGCCACTAGGACGCAAAAGCTAACTTTGCGGAAGTAGAGATTTGTGAGAGGAAAAGATAAAAAAACAGAAGACCTTTCCGGCGTTGACATTTCGATTTTTGAAGATTGTGGTTACCAAGAGAGCAATAAATCAGAAAAGAGTTCCACAGCTATAAACTGCGAATTGATTTACAAAACTATTAAAAAGAACAGACAGTTACATTATACTTAGGGGTAAAACGGTGGGACCTTCAGCTGCCAATCTGACATACAATATGAATTCATGAAATCGAGGCACTAAGGAGGAAAGCTCATGAGAACAATTGCTATGAAAATATTTGTAGAAAAGACACAGGTAGGCCATGTAATATCGGTGAGAAATTTACTGAAGTCGATATGGCAGGTCAGGATCTATTACATTATAGACTCTTCTTTGGATCTTATCAAGAATCTCGGCATGTGTGGCCGGAGCACCAGACTAGACAAGGTAACACTATTCAATGCAGATACAAATGGTAGATAGATTCTAACGAGGAAAATTCTCTGGTATGACACAGTTAACCAAATGTCCTTTTCAGTAGGCATAGCAATTGATGCGACGTATTATTCTCAAGAAAATTGCATTTAAAATGGCGTCAAATTTTGGACCTGATGGGGTAAAATATCAGAGATAGAGCGTATGTGAATATTTACATAAGCTGTAACCTTGATACTGAGCACTTTTAGACATAAATATACAACACATTAAAAATTATAATTTTATCATATTTATATGTGTGTGTGTGTGTGTGTGTGTGTGTGCAGAGAGAGAGAGGGGGGGTGAAGTGAAGAGAGACAAAGACAGAGAAGGAGAAGCAGTCTGACAGGCGTGAACAAAGAACTGTCTACCGCAAGAATAAAAAGAAACGCCATTTCTCCTGTCTGATTAATGATATGTAGCTCATCTCCGATACTAATCTAATTGCTTGAACATAATAATGGCCATATCTGTCTGCCGAAGTATAAATTTTCTCGTGGTATTCCTTTGCAAAAATGCTTATTATCTATGAATCGATCTCTTTTCCTTTCTATCTATCTATCTATCGATCCTCATTCTTTTCCTTACAATCTATCTATCTATCTATCTATCTATCTATCTATCTATCTATCTATCCTATCTATCTATCTCATTCTTTTCCTATCTATCTATCTATCTATCTATCTATCTTCTATCTATCTATCTATTTATCTATCTATCTATCCTTGTTTCTTTTATTTCATCTATCTATCTATCTATCTATCTATCAATCTATCTATCTATCTATCTATCCTCATTCTTTTCTATCTATTATCTATCTATCTATTTATCTATCTATCTATCTATCTTTGATCAGTTTTCATATATAGCTGAGAACCCACTGTATATTTACGCATGATAAATAAAAACTAAAGTATGAATTAAAATTAACATATATTCATCTATTCCTGTTTCTTTTTCTCTGTCTTTCTTTCTTTCTTTCTATCTATCTATCTATCTATCTATCTATCTATCTATCTATCTATCTATCTCGTCCTGTACAGATGTATCTAGCTATCTCAGCCTGTTCAGATCTATCTATCTATCTATCTATCTATCTATCTATCTATCTATGTCGATCTCAACATGATCGTATTAATCTATTTGTCTCTTTGTCTATCTCAGTATGTTTTTATCCATCTCTCTCTCTCTCTCTCTATCTTCTATCTATCTATCCATCTATCTATCTATCTATCTATCTATCTATCTCAGTTTGTTCATATCGATCTATTTCAATATGCCTATTTTTCTCTCTCAATCGCTCTCTACCTATCTATGTATCCCTCTGTCGATATAGATATGTTCGTATTAATCTTTCTCTTTTTGTCCCCATTTTTAATATATTTATTTTTTCTCTTTTCTTTTCTTCTCTCTCTCTCTCTCTCTCTCTCTATATATATATATATATATATATATATATATATATATATTTAAATTTCTTCATATCGATCTCTTTCACTATGCTCATTTCTCTCTCTCTCACCTATTTGTCTCTCTCTGTCGCTCTCAATATGTTCGTATCAATCTCTCTATTTTCTTTCTGTCTGTCTCAATATCTTCATATCCATTACTTTCTCCCTCTCTCTCTCTCTCTCTTCCCCACTCTCTCATTCTTTCTTGCGATCTATGCCGATTGTCTGTCTTTTCTCGTCCCTCTTTCTTTGATTTGCCAAACCATCTTATAAAAACATTTCCTTTGCTGAGCAGATGAAACACAGACCAAGCATTAGTCTAAAAAGCACTTCAGTTAATCGAATCTCGCGTGACACTGTTTTAATATTTGCTTTGTGTTAAAAAGAACCTGCTTTGCTCAGGGTGAAAAGCAAGAAAACATCGCACAGTTTTTGAGGTTCGTTATTTTCACGAAATAATTCGTTTAGCACTGAACACGGCTTATCTTCTAATATCGTAAAGTCTTTTTTTTTTTTCTGTCTCCCTGTTCATATTACTAAAGCCTTAGAAATTGGTCATCTTGTTTCGTTTTATTTTATTTCTGAATTTATTTACTGCATAAAACTTTGCATGTACGCTGATGGAAACATTTATATAAAAAGCGACTGATCACAATGTCTATAAGCGAAAGATAAAAAGTTGTGCAAGATTAAATTTCAGAGAAAACATTAGATCCGATCTTGAGCCCAAAGAAAATTTTGCCTTTCTGGAGACACCATTAGTGTTTGCAATGAATAGTTGGCCTTCTCTTCCATCTTTGTACGTTTTTTTGTTTGTTTGTTTTTTTTTTTTACTTTTAATTTTACAATTTTTTCGTCGTATACGCTCTGGTCGTCCTTTGATATCTGTTGTATTTCAGAATGTTGACGAATACACATACACATCTACCCACCACACGCATCACATCTTCTTCTATGTGACGTACCCCTTCAGAACATTAACGACCATGGCGCTCCACAATTTCCTCTCCTTTGTAGCTCTTAATACATTTTGGCTTTTTGTTATCTCTCCAAAAATATGTTCTGTCATCAATTCACTTAAGATCCTTAAGTAGGTTATGCGTTGTTTTCCTCTGTCCCTCTTACCTTTAATCTGCCCTGTGAGTATCAAATTTTCCAAGCACTCTTTCCTCATTATGACCGCTAAACATTTCAACTGCCTCTTCCTGATATAAGTAAAAGTGTCCTTTTTACCTCCGTTTTCTCAAGTACTTCGTCGTTGCTCACAAGTTCTGTCCATTGTATTCCCAGCATCTTTCTGTAGAACCATATTTCTGTTGCTTCAAGCATCGTCTTCATTTGCGAGGAGATTGTCCAGCATTTACTGCCATGTAGGAGGACTGTAGTTCCATAACAGTTCAGTACTCATTTCTTTGTTCTTAACTGTTGTGTATGATACACCTAATTTACATAAGCGGACTACCGACCATATAAATATGGGTTGGTACCGGAAGACGGGGAAGATAGTAGAGATTAAGAAATTGAATCCAGAGACTCTGCCCGACTGCGATTTAGTCAACCCATTATGCAGGAACAGTCTTCCCAAGAATATACCAAACTAACTGTAAATATTGTGTACCTATTCTTTGTTTCAATACATTTTGTTAACGTACATTTTGTGTTGTATTATTCCATGCTTATTTAAGCTTCAACATTAACGAAATTTGCTTGTTTCTTAATACTTTGCTTAGCTTTTGGAAGGCATCTTTGCTATCCAAATGAGCCTTCGAATTTCAGTGTCGCACTTTGCGTCCTCTGTTATGACACCCTTCCCAGAAACGCTCACGTTTAACAAAATATGGACGATATCTCGTGTCTCGCACTTCTGCATCTTTTCAAAAGAATTCTTTTTCATGTGATGAACATTTCTTCTGAGTATTGAATTCATTTTTTGATTTTGACCCAATCTTTCGGCCGCTCAGTATTACAGCCTTCTTCAGATACAGCATCCGTAAGAAAAGGTAGGCAGTCTCTTCTTTTTTTTTTTCTACAGAAGCAAGTGGCGGATATTATGAGAAATGATGGCAAATTTACCGACCATCTCAGTTCACTCTTTGCAATGAGAACCACATAGGCGACACCATTCTGACCAACTCGTGTAACGTAATAGATTCCTGAATGATTTATAATAACCTGTTTATTTCCTTATCTATAATGGAAGTCAAGCGACACGCTGAAATTCTTTCCGCATTAACATTGTGGGCGCAATAAACAATTCCAATTTTCTTCCTATGACAAAAATAAAAACATGGCGTAATCTGGATGGACGAAAATAACTGTTTATTCTTGAATTATAATGTACTACTATTTTTAACCATTGAAAATTTGAAGGTCTTTTTTATTTTAATTTTCTGATGAATCTTAATTTCTTAATTTAATGATTGAATAAGCTCATAGCGATTTCTATGACAATAAAAAATATCTATATACTTTCCCTTATCTCATCGTTAAATCTTTGAGCTTAGGGTCTTTAACAAAATACTTCGATAACAATCATAAATGTGAATGTTGATCATTATTTTAAGAAGTAAAGGGGTACAAATGAAAAAATATTTGAAATTGACAACTTTTTCCATTTAACTGAAACAGACGTTAAACTCTTTCTTTCTTTCTTTCTTTCTTTCTTTCTTTCTTTCAATGAAATCAGGTAGCATCCCTGATATGTCTTTTCCATGTTTCCACGCGATCAAAACGGAATATTCTATTATTTATTAGGTATTGGTAAGACATTACGGTCGTTCTAGGTAAGATAGGGATAAACAGAATTATGATATATATATATATATATATATATATATATATAAAGTGAACATAGAATAATCAACACTTAGATGCGACATCTGTTTCATATTACGATGATTGCATATTTCAGGCCACAGACTGTCGCCCTAAAATGTTGAATAATATGTTCATTTCTTTTATATTTACACACGCTCTATCTCTGATATTGAGCACTTTATCCCATAAATCACATCTTAAGACTATATTACTTTATATATATATATATATATATATATATATATATATATATATATATATATAATATAAAAAAATGACAACAAATAATAATAACAAAAAAAGTACCAGTGAAAATATCATGGTTTTCCTCTTTCAATATTTTGATTACACCTGAATTCTTAATTTAATGATTGAATAAGCACATGGCGAGTTCTTTAACAATAAAATATCCATAGAAATAATCCTATCGCATCGTTAAATATTTAAGCTTAACAACTTTAACAAAATATTGCAATAACAATCATACATATGAATACTGGTAGTTATTTTAAGAAGTAAGGGGGTACAAATAAAAAGATTTGAAATTGACAACTTTTCCATTTCACCGAAATGGCCGTTAAACGCTTCTGTATTCCTATCTTTCTTTATTTCTTTTTCTTTCTCTCTTTCTTTTTCTCACTGAAACCAAGTAGTGTCTTTTCTCTTCTTTCCACTTGATCAAAATGGAACAGCCCATAATTTACGAGATATTGACAGGGCGTAACTGTCGTGCGGACTAAAAAAAAAAAGGAGAGACATGCACAATTATAAGAGGTTTATTATTAATAATTATTATTATTACAGCAAGGAAACTAAAATGCTACTGACAAATACTTTGATAATTATTATTATTAATAATTATTACAGCTAAAAGCTAAAAATATTACTGACAAAAATAAAACCAATCTGAATGAGAAGAAAAAGGAAGTATAGATAAAACTCAAGAGATATATATAAATGAGTGAGCTGGAGGTTGCGCAGCGGACATCTGTAAAGAGAAACATGACTATTAGCTAAAGCAGTCTTAATCACGAAAATGAGAAGAATTTATACCAAATCTAATAGTGAAGGTATGTAAAAAGAAGGCAAGATTGGGTGTAAATAGTGATCAGCTGGTAACTGTGCAAACGGTTTTCATTCCACCAAATAAACAATTCGGACTTTCACGCAAATCCTTTTCAGTATCCTCACCTTTCTTGACGACTTCAGCAATCCTGTCTTCCCTAGGATTGTAACTGTTTTCAGAAGTTTCTGGGAGTTCTGAGGATTATAGTGGTGCTCATCTCGAGCGAGATCCTGTTATTTGCATATTTATTTCATTTTCTCTTATTTTCAAATTTTCGAAACAATTCCCTTTCCTTGTAAGCAAATGTCTACTTTCCCAGCATGGATAGAGATGCGTGTCTATTTTAAAATACCAAAAATAGTTTACGTTTTCCTTTTCTCAACGGAAGACTATTTATACGTATTCGATCGAATGGAAACCATTATATTGACTTTATTGAAAAAAAAAAAAAATCTCCGAATTTTGTTGTAAATTCTGACTTTACCCGGGCGTCTTTAAGTTTGAAAGAAGAAATTTAAATTTATACGAACAGGCTGAGCTGGGTATAAACAAGCCGGGTAGATAAGAGATTCAGGTGGATACAGACAGAAATGGACAAGAGATTGAAATAGATAACGGTAATTTTTTGCAGGAACCATTCAACATTGACTGAACAGAGAGCATTATTACTGTCGGTTGAAATTTAAATAATCTTTTGTCTTAAAATATTTTTTTCAAGACATTAGCCTTCTCAAGTTGGGTAACTGTTAGTGTTCTTCCAAATATTTATAAGAATGATCGGCAACGTTTAACATAGACAAACTAGAATTATTTCACCCTTACATACATAAAGCAATATTTACGCTTCTTCAGTAAGGCTTCGAATCCGTTAATTTCTTGAAACTTCGAAGGAACGCGTTGTCTCTCCTTGAATTCA